GCTGGGGCTGGACCCTGGGTCCGAGGGAGGAGTACCCCCCTCCCCTACAGGAGAAATAAGAAAGCTAGGGGCTGGGTCTCCTGGACCTGGGACTGSGGGGGGGGGGGGGGGGGGGGGGGGGGGGGGGGGGCTTAGGAGGTGGGACCCGACACCGAGGTCCTGAGTCCCTCTCCAGGTTCGGCGTGACACTTCCTCCACCAGGTGAAATCCCGCCCGGAGGAAGAAGGAAGAAGGCGCGGGCGGGGGACTAGGAGGCGAGGCGGAGGCGGACTCTGATACCGGGAGGGTCCCAGCCCGAGCCCCGCTGTCGCCTGCCCCGCTCAGAAAGAGCCACGAGGTAAGGGACGATGGTGGGCAGGGGTCCCGGGCCCCGACTAGAGGGAAGAGGGTCAGCCAGCCAGAGGCTGCTGCGGCTGAAGTCCCCGCAGCCACGTGGCCTCGGAGGCCCSGGAGGCCCGCAGAAATCCCGGAGCGCGGGGTCTCCGCTCCGTCCCCCACGGCCGCACCCCTGTCCCCGCCTCTCCCTCGGGTCTGAGAACCAGTCTGGCGGGATCCGGAGTTTCCGCCCTGTTGGGGCTGGGGCTGGGGCTAGTGCCGAGGGCAGAGGTGAGCGGCGGTGCCCTGCAGCTGGGTCCGGGCCCTGCGGGGCAGGAAAGAGGGGGCGGCCAGGCCGGAGGAGCGCGCGGGTGGAGGGCCTGCAGCTGGGCGGCCTGCTCTGGGCCTGTTTGGTGTGTCCCCAACAACAGCCCCTCTGTACGAGATGTGGCCAGTGACGAACTTTTTCCAAGCCTGACCTCATCGCACGAAGCCCTACCACCCTGCGAGGGGGCGATTAGAGCCCTTGATCTAGAGGACACCCAGGCTGGGAGGAGGGAGTGACTTGCCCAGGGTCTCCGGGGCTAGCTAGGAGAATAGGTGGCATTGGAAAACTCTTTCCTCATCTAAAAAGAGAAAAGAAAACCACATACATCTAACGGTGCAAGGGCATGCCTGGCGTTTGTATCAGACTGAACCCGGGCAATTGCACAACCCCGTGGCCATAAGCATATAATATCATCCTTAGGCTCCGGAGTTCATCTGCCTGGGCGCCAAATCTGCCCTGCAACATTTAGTCCTGTGTGACCTAGGGCAAGATACCCAGCCTCTCTGTCCTGCAGCCATCACACTTCTGTAAAATGGACATTAGAATCTCAGTCTCCCCCTAGTTGGTTGTTTTGAGGATTAAATGAATTAGTTCATCCTGTGAAACACTTAGACCAGTGTTTGATCTAGAATAAGTGCCTTGGAAATAAAAGGCAAGTGTGGCCAGTGTACTTCATGATGTGCCTGGTTTTCAGAGGGTAAACCCAGGGCTAGGCTGAGGAACTTGTTCAGGATCCCACCAAAAGGAAATGACAATGTAAGCCAAGCATGCATGATGTCAGAAACCACCATCTTAAAGCACTCCCCTATGTGGCACTAGGATGACGACGGGTGCCCTGAAAATGGGGCAGAGGGAGCTGCAGGGGAGTGGTGAGTTCAAGAGCAGCAGGCGGTGGAAGGAGCCCTAGCAGGACTCTGGAGTCCCACAGAGCTGGCTTTGTGAGCTTAGGCAAGTCAGGGGTCCTTCTCTGGGACCTGGGGGAATGACCCAGGGTGGATTCCCTTCAGCCTTTCTTAAACATTTCACTGAGTGCTGCTACTACGCTCAGATTGGGATTGGCAGCATCTCACCAATCCTTGCCAAAAGACTCTGAAGTATTATATTAGTATCATTCCATTTCCCAGATGAGGAAATGATGTGGGAAAGGCTAAGCAGTTTACCTACCCTGGGTGGCTGGCTTCCTGATCCACCTTTCACCCCCAACTCATGCAGAGCCAAGTGCTGAGATAAAGGGCACTGCTTGGCAGCTAGAGAGGAGTTTTAAATTATGGACGGAGATCCTTTAATGAGTTGATCATTTAAAAATAAAATGTTAAAAGAGAATGGATCTGAGTAGTTACCATGATGTAAGGACTGCCTTATTTCATAAAGATTTTGTTTCTTTTATAGGGGAGGAGTGGTTGCGTGCTGGGTTACAATAAAGGTGTATTTATTCATGTAGGTTAAGGTTGGAGAAATGTGATAAATATTGCAGAGATGGCAAATCAGGACCGGTTTCCCCAGAGGGGAAAAAAATGCAAAGTGTGTGTGTGTGTGTATGTGTGTGTGTGTGTGTGTGTGTGTGTGTGTGTGTGTAGGGCAGTACTTAGAATACATCCCTCTAAACTATTTTAAGTTCTTTCTGCTGTACTTTTTTTCCACTCTATTGCTGATATACCCCAGAATCCTGGTCACTAAAAACAATGTTGGCTGCATTGTTTGGTCATTCGGTTTCACCAAGTCTTATCTTTGTTCTACACTCTGTTTCACACTTGTTTGGGGAAACATTTTCCCCCAATACTAGCCTACTAGCTCTGCCAACTGGCTAACATCTCCCCCCCCCCCCGCCCCGCCCCAGTACTGGAGATTGAACCAGTGGATGCACCACGGCTGAGTTCTCATTTTTATTTATTTATTTTGAGGTGAGGGTCTGACTAAGTTGCTAAGGCTGGCCTTAAACTTGGGGTCCTCTGCCTCAGCCTCTGTCGTTGCTGCACCCAGTTACAGCTGGCATAATTATAAATATTGTTTTATTTAATGGAGCTTTACTATGTGCTCTGTAAGGAAAGCAGTATTATTTCATCCACTTTATAGATAGGAAAACAGAAAGAGTAATAGATCTCAACTCATACAGTTGGCAAAGGGCAGGGCTTCGATTGAAACAACAACAAAGTCTTTCCATCATAATAACTGTGACTGTTAAAACAAAGTCCTTCCCAGGAGTTCCATAAAAAACTGCCCAGTTCCAGGACATGGCCGAGGCTGGCTGCACTTCCATTTGCTGTCCAATCCCAAAGAGCAAGAGTGCACCTAGTCTACAGTTCTCAAGCAGCTGGCTTCAAATATGTGTCGTGCTGCCATTTTTAACCCAAGAGGGGTTCGCATTATTAGTTTCTTACAAAGTATGAGGATTGTATTGTTAGGTCATGGTCTCTCAAACCAGATCATTTAAATTACAAAACGCTGTGCAAATATTAGCATCCCCCAACCCCCAAACCTCCCCAATTAGAACTTGCTATGGCTTTTGTGCCTCTTCCTGTGTGTGTGTGTGTGTGTGTGTGTGTGTGTGTGCGCGCGCGCGCGCGCGCGCGCGCGCGTGCTAAACCTGCCTTCCCTAGTGGACAAAGTAGGGCCTGTCTGCAAGGATGGGTCCTGGGGAATCTCATCCTCACCTAGCTGGAGTTTCTACCTGTCAGGTTGGGAAGCATTGTGCAGGGAATGTGGAGGAGCTTCTTTCTGCCTGACCTACAGGAAAGTTCTGATATCAGTTCTCAGGACAATCAGCAGAGCGCCATGCGCGTTTTGTAGTAAGGCAGGCCTAAATCTGAACCTGATATTTGAGTCCAGGTATCTCTGACCTTGGACCTCTCAGAGCCTCAGTTTCCCCACCTGTAAAATTTGAATAATCACCCCCCCACCACCCTGTCCTAGCGAAGAGCATCCTTCGCGAGGACCGCACGGCTGCGGGGCAGGGCTGGGCAGGGCTCCCAGAGATGCGGCGCTGACCGCCTGTGACCCCACAGATGCCGGTGCTGAAGCAGCTGGGCCCCGCGCAGCCCAAGAAGAGGACCGAGCGCGGCGCGCTGTCCATCTCGGCGCCGCTKGGCGACTTCCGGCACACACTGCACGTGGGGCGTGGCGGCGACGCCTTCGGGGACACCTCCTTCCTGAGCCGCCACGGCGGCGGACCACCCTCCGAACCCTGCGCTCCGCCCGCGGGGAGCCCACGTAGCGCGACGCCGGCGGCAGTGTCGCAGCCCGCAGCGCCCGCCCCCCGCCCATCGGCTCCCGCCGACCCGCTGCTGTCCTTCCACCTGGACCTGGGCCCCTCCATGCTGGACGCCGTGCTGGGAGTCATGGACGCGGAGCGCGCCGCGGCCGCCAAGCCCGACGTGGACGCGCGTCTCGAGGCGCAGCACCCCAGGGCCCGCTGCCGCCCCAACGCCGACCTCGAGCTGGACGACGTCATTGGTCTGTAGGCGCCAGGTTCCCCGCGCCCTCCCTACCGGCACCCCACTTCTGCGCACATAAAACGGCTAAGGTTTGCGCCCGGGCTCTGTCTGTTCACTTTGGCGGGTAAGGGGAGAGGAGAAGAAATGACTGTGGGGCCCCAGTACTTGAGAGTTGTGCTGGTCATCCAGACTAGGTCGATGTAAGTAATGGTGAGATGCGGCTCCTTTAAGGGCCCCCGAGGCGTGGCCAGGCCGTTCCGGGCCGTAGGGAGCCGGGCGCGAACCGGCCGCTCCTACTGCCGCTTTCATCCATCAAACGTTGACCGAGAAACACTGCCCCCGGGTCCAGGTGCCGGGCCTCAGACGCAGCCCCGGCGAGGCTGCAGAATACCGAGGCCTGGCAGCCACTGCTGCCTTGCCCCGAGCGTCTCCGGAGGCCCCGACAGGGTGGGGYCACCATTTATTCTGGGAGTGGTCGCAGAGGGAAACGACTGGGAACCCCTTTGGAGCCTCAAGGGGCGTGGTTCCAGTGCAGAGGGCGTCTGGGGACCTTTGAGTTCCCAGAGGCGCAAGACCSCACCTGCGAATGCTGAACTGCGGGTGGGGCCAGGCTCCCTCCGGCCGGCTCTGAGGCAAAGGGGGTCGGAGTAGGGGTGTCCACCGCTGGCTTAGGGGCGGGGCCGGGAGGCTTAGGGAACCCCAGACGGCGAGGCCCGTGTAAATCACCCTGGGGCGGGGCCAGTCCCTCTAAAGCCTCCCAAGGGGCGGGGACATGCTGATCAACCAACTGGGGGCGGAGCTATGTAAATCAGAGGGACTAGGTGCCCGGGACGACGGGGGCTAAGGTACGGGGTGTGGTGCGGTCGCCAAACTCCAGCGCGGCGCCGTGCCAGCAGGGATCCCTTGAGACCTCAGCACCCACGGGGATGGCCGGACAGCCCGGACTGCTGCCGGAGGGCGCCGGCGAGGACCCCGCATCCCCGCCAGCTTGCCGCTTCTTCCTGGAGGGCCGCTGTCGCTTCGGCACCCGCTGCCGCCAGCCGCACCCCGGGGCCCAGGCGCCGCCTAGCCGCGGAGCACAGCCGGAGGCGGGGACCAAGAAGCCGCCGCTGCGCACTGCCGCGGCCGTCATCCAGCGTATCCGCTGGGACCCGCGCCTCGACCCCGCCGACTTCTCGGTGGGCTACGTCGACCGCTTCCTGGGTGTGCGCGAGGAGCCCTTCAGCGCCTTCTGCTGGGACGAGCCGCTGGCGGCGCTGGGGCCGGGCGTGCTGGCCGTGCCGCAGCACCGCGTGCGCTACTTCCGCTTCCGCGGCCGCCTGGTGTGGGACCGCGCCTCGCGCACCGACCTGGTCTTCGGCTCGGGATCAGCGGCCGGCCGGGGCCCCACCATCCTGGACGCACTTGATGGCGAGGACGCACAGGAGACCCCAGACCAGGAGAGAACCTGCGAGGCCCCAGAGGGGCGGGAGAGCCAGGCTGCTCCCGAGGGAGCGAGCGGAAACCCGGACTGGACGGAGCTCCGGGAATCCGAYCGGGAGGAACCCGGAAAAAAGTGCGAGACAGCCACGGAGCCACGGCCGAGCGGGACCTCCGGCGCGGGACCACCAGTCCCGAGGAGGCATCTCGCAGAAACAGAGAGGGCAATAGGGGCGTTGAAGGCAATAGCGCCCCTCGGAGCCACAATGCTACCAAGCAGGGAGGTGCAGACACCRGCAGCCCCGGGAATGTCTGTTGGGAAGATGGATATGGAGTGGGGTGTAGAGGACTGGCCAGAAGACAGTGAAAGGGACTTGCCAGCTAGAGCTGTGGCCCCTCGCCAACCCCGCCCTACACATTTCGTGGCCCTCATGGTGAGCGATCTGGGGCTGCAGGCAGAAGTAGCCAAAGCCCAGGAGCACCTGGTCCAAGTCCACCCGTCCTGTGCTGCCTTCCTGGTGCCCACACATGCCCTGCACCTGACACTGGCCCTTCTGCGGCTGGCAGGCCCAGGGGAGGAGGCAGCCGCAGTCGGGGCTCTGAGACGGGCCCTCTTGGCCCCAGGACTTCAAGCACCCCGGCAGCTTCGGTTTAAAGACTTAGTGCTCCTGAGCCACCACGTACTTTGTGCCCCACCGTCCCCCACACTGGAAGGCATGGCCCACGTGCTCAGCCAGAGGCTGGAGGCAGAGGGGCTGAGAGTGCTGTGGCCCCGGGAGGGATTATACCCCCACCTCACCCTGGCCAAGGTGCCCCATGGCTCCCAAGTCCACCTCCCAGAGCCCAGGTTCAGCCTGGACCAAGAGCTGCAGAGCCAGCCCCTGGGGCGAGTCTGGCTGTGCCGCATGGGGAAGGCAGGTAGCACCTACCAGTCCCTAGCTGACATACCCCTGGGGCCACACACTGAATGCACACAGTGAAGGGGGGACACAGKCCAGGCAGAAAGGACAGTGCTTGTGAGGCTTGTGCTCTCTCTCTCTCTGTTTAATTTTGGTATCTCAAGCTTCCAAATGGTGCTCAGTGCTCCAAGGAAAGAATGAAGGAGGGGAAGGGAAGGGAAGGAGGGGAGGGAGGCAGAGGAGGGACATCTGGAAAAAAAGCAGCCTGACAGTCCAGCTGTTTGCAAACTCATAGCACATCCTCCAGTTACATGGCAGAAGAGGAAGGGAGGACCGAAAAGAAAAGGGGAGGAAGAAGAAAAAATAACTTAAATAAACACACACACAAAGAAAAGAGAAGGAAACATGACGTGAGCTGGTGATCCATGAAGGCGGGAGGGAGGGAGGGTGACCGGTTTACCTGTGCTGAGCCAGGGAGGACTGGGAGCAGGAGGGGAGGGAAAGGGAAAAAAAAATCAGAAGAAACATTGGGGGCGAGGAAGGAGGGGACACGGAGACAACTTAATACAACTTGAGACGAGGCGGCCCGGCCGGCAGGTCCCGCGATGGCCTCCGGAGTCCTCAGTGCGGTGTGGTGGCGCTGGTCTGGTGGTGGTGGTGGAGGMGACGATGGCGTTGGCATTTCTGGGGTGAGGGGCCAAGGGCGGGGCATAGTCTCTAAGCAGCTCCCCTCACCCCAAAACACTGAGGCCCCAGAGGGCTGGGCAACAAGAGTCTGTGAAGAGGCAGACGAGGCAGCGGGCGTGGGCTGGTATGCTGGTGACCCCACTGCAGGCGGGCGCGGGCTGGACGGCCTGTCTTCTTTCCGCTGGCCCCCCGGCATGGGATGGGCCAGCGCGCCGGGTCGGGTACCGGAGTAGAAGCTCGAAAGAGAGAGAGAAAAAACACTGAGACAGCATTAGTGGAGGTGAAAAGGGGACAGACAAGCCTGCAGACCATGTCCCCAACCTCCATGGCCCCCCCCCTCCCCAACCCGTCCCTCTGAGGCAAAAAATAAAAATGTAGAAAAATCTCTGTACAGACTCCCCGGTGGGAAACGGGGGCAGGGATGGCGGCTCTTCCTGGAGCCCACTCCCCACAAATTAATTTACAACCCAAGTCCATGGCTCAAAAACAAAATCCGCAAAGGTGGCACTGGGGGCCCCAGCCCCTGCCCCCGCCCCATCCTCGCTGGGTGCTCAGAAGGCTGGCAGCTGCGCCAGGCTGAGGCGACAGTCGATGCTGGAGTTGTCCGGGCCCGTGTAGGCCAGGCCCAGGGGCTCTAGGAAGGCCCGGCAGGCGGCCTCGCCCTCGAAGGCCAGCTCGGCCTGCAGGTAGGAGACTGGCAGCGCAGGGCGGAAGCTACGAGACAAGAGGAGAGAGTGATGAGGCCGCGGGCGAGTGGGCAGGGAGGGCTCCACAGGCAGGGAGCGGGTGCCCCCAGCCGGGCACCCAGAGTGTTGTTCCTTGCTGGCTCCCCCTGCACCTCCCAGCCTCCCCCTGACTGGGGCCTGGGGGAACCTGGGGTGGGGCTGGTGACCCCAGTCCCCAGTGTGCCCCCCCTTGCCCTCACTTACCTGTCCAGGAAGGAGAGGGGACAGGAGGGGAAGGGCCCAGCTGGCTCCTCCACTGGCTGAGGAGCAAGAGCCAGACAGGGAGTAGTGCGTGGGCATGGGAGGGCCAACAGTGCTACCTGGGGAGCCCTTGCTGCTGCCCTGTGGGTCAGAGTGCCCCTGGAAGCTGGGCACAGGTGCTTAGCCAACACTCATCCACAGACTCCTAACATAATGACTTTTGGTTCCAATTATGCTACACTACTCATTGTACGTGTTACAGTGCCAGGAAACAGCTGTCCAGAGCTGCCTGTGAGTCTACAGACTGTCACTCTGCCTGACAGGCACAGGAAGCAGCACCAAGTGAGCCAGAGGCACTACATATTGGAAAAGGGTCTGCCTGCAAAGCCCTGCTTCCTGTGGCCCTAGGACAGGACAGCCTGCTCATCTGCCACCTGAGCTGACCTCCCAGTCCCTGCAGGGACATGGCTCTGTGGTCTGCCTGCCAGGAAGAGCTGTGCCAACTTCACAGGGGGAAGGCGCTGAGAGAATGAGGTCAACCATGGGCCAGAGCCCCACCTACAAGGGCCATTCCTGGTTATGCTGCCACGGCCATGGCTGAGTATCTATAAATTAATAAGGAAACGATCACTTGCCAATCACACCCCGTGTGCAGCAGTACAGCTCAAGGGCTGCCCACCAAGGGGCCCATCAGGCCACACGGGGCTGAGCAGCCGCTGCCCCCTGACTCCCTCCCCAGCTAGTGACCACACCCCTGGCATGGTGCCCTCAGTCCCTATTGTGGCTCAGCCTCTCCCTTACACAGGCTTGACTGGAACTAGATCCCAGAATGGGTTTCCTGAACTTCAAGCTGATGGTGCGCCCCTTACTCCAAGCCATCCTAGTTGCCACCCTGTTGCCTTCGTGAGGAAGGCCAGGCTACCTCGCCTGGTGTTCAGGCTGCCAGACCAGGACTCCTCAACCTGAGGCAAGACTGACACTGGGCCTGGATGACTACAGGGTATCCTGTACACCAAAATGCTGAGCATCCTCCCTGGCCTCTGTCCCCCAGATGCCAGCTGCATCCTCCTTAGTGTGACAATCAGAAATGTCTCCTGATGGTGCCCCATGTCCCCTGGGGGCATCTCAACTCCAACTGAGAACAGGGAGTCTATACATGAGTCAAACATGGCTTCCCAGGCCAAAAGAGTAAGGCACATACTCTGTCAGCAAGACCTGCCCAACCAAGGCCTTTCGGCAGCACCCCAGTGTGGCTGGCTCTCACCACACCTATCCTCAAACACGTCTGGCATTCCCAAAGAAGCTGAGTCTCAGTGGAAGACAGGCCCTCAGCCCTCCCCCCCACAGTTCATCTCTAGGCCAGGAGCAAGTAAGGAGTACAATGGGCGGGCAGAGGCCCTGGGAGGGGTGCCAAGAACCCGGAGAGAAGTGAGGATGACCAGGTCCATGGTGACATGAACAGGAGAGAAAGAAAGACACATAGAGTGGGAAAGACAGCTGGGAGTATTGAGGTAAGAGGTGGAGAAGAGTCAAAAGAGGGCCAAGGACTACGGTGTGAGGAGGAAAGCAATGAGGTGAGTACAGGAGGGGGGGGGGGAGATGAGTAGCAGATGGGAGTGGAAGGCCAGGGACGAGTGGAGGGGATTGGCCTGGCAAGGCCACAGTGCAGAGGGCAGGAGAGCACAGCGCCACGTACGTTTTGATCATTGCCTTGAGGGCAGCCCTGCGCTCCCGGTCTGCAAACTTGTCCACGAGGTAGCCAGACATGCAGGGTGCATGGCAGTAGAGCCGGAAGAAGCGGTGGTAGTTGCCCAGGGCCCATGCTGCCCGCAACGCCAACGCGTGGGCCACACAAGGGTCTGCCTTCAGCTCCCGTGTGAGGTACGCCAGCTCTGTGGTGATGTCTGGGCCCAAGACACACATGTCAGGTGGCAGGGCACCACCTACGCATGGTGCCCTCCCACCTGGGGCTGCGCTCCCACCTCCAGAGTTCTTGGTGAAGATGTAGTAGAGGATCCTGTAGGCAGTAAACTCGCCCACGTTGCCTGGCAAGTTCTCAGCATATAACGACTTGAGCTGTGTCTGGCACTGGTTAAACTCTTCGTGGTCACCCTGAGGGCAGGGATATGGAGGAGCATGGTAAGGCCCAGGCAGGTGCAAGCAGCTAGCTGCTAGGGAGGAAGCGGTAGGCCTTCACCAATCACCCACCTTCTCCAAGGCAATGCGGGCATGGGTCTCATACACCTCCACCGTGAACTCTGTGCGGATGCCTTGCACCTGGGCCAGGGGGAGAGCAGGAGTTGCAGGGGGCAGGGAGAATGGGCAGGGCAGCCTACACAGGGTCCCTCCCAGTGTCCACCTCACCGTCAAGTCCTGCCGGATGGACTTCATCTGCTCACAGGCAAAGGCGTAATCCTGCTTCTCCTTCCAGTGGGACTTCACCATGCACAGCGACTTTTTCAAAACCTAGCAGGGAATCGAATCCAAACTCAAGAAGGGATGGCGCAGACATGTCCAGGCCATCCCCCTTCCACTTGTGCGACGTCGTTAGAACATCAAACCCATGCTAGTGACTCCACTGCACCACAAATGAGCAAAGACATACACACGCCCAAAAAGACCACCCCTCGGCTCCTGCACACACAGGGCCTAAGTGCCTTCTCCTGTGGCCACCCAGCTCCACTATGTGCATGGGACAGACTGTACTGACGCACAGGGAGGGGGCCAAGGCTCAGGGAGGCCAAGTAATCCTCTGGCAAGGCTACGAGTCCTCAACGGCAGGGGCCCAGGCACAGGTCTGCCATGAGTTCTCCTGGACAACAATCTGCCAGTGTGGCRGCCCGCAGGGTGGAAGTCCTCCCATGGCCTGGGCCACACCCCCACACCCCGGCCCGTGTCCTCTGCCACCCTCCTGGGGTTGGCCCCCCAGGCCTGGTGCCAGCACTTCATGGGGCAGACCTGCCCTGCTGGGGACTTACTGCTACAGGGCGCACTGTGGAAGGGTCAGGGGCGCAGGTGAGACGCAGGTAGTGCTTGGTGATGTCAGGGCAGGTGCCCACGATCTGCAGCTCCTGCCAGTCAGGGTCAGCCCCACTGCTCTCCAGGCTGCTCATCTGCAGCACCAGGGGCTCAAGGCGCAGGCGGCGAGAGTGTCCGTGCTGAAAGCGGGCTGCCCGCTTCTGTTTCTTCAGCTCGCGCTCYGGGTCCTCACACTCCAGCGCTGCCATCTTTTTGCGGCTACGCTTGGTAGGAGCTAGATCATGCCTGGGAAGAGACCAGGTGGGTGAAGGAGGCAGGCACCCCTGGCCACCTGGAAGCCCAGGCCTGGGACACAGCCCCACCAAAAGCCTTACCTCTTCCCACGCTGCGCCCTGCCTCGGCCCCGGTCCATGTGGGCCCCCCGACCCCCTCGGCCCTTGGGGGGCGGGTTCCTGCGGCCCACAGGGTGACACTCATTGCCCGAGTAGGAGCTGTCAGAGTCCGAGTGGGAGTCACTGCAAAAGGAAGCAGGCGGGTCACGCCTCGAACAGTCCTTCCCAGCCACCCTCCAACCCCAGGCTGCGCACCTTCTCCGGAAGTGGCGGGTGGGGGACCTAGAGGAGGAGCGGGAGCGGGAGTCCGTGCTGGAGGAAGAGCTGTTGTCCTTCATGAAGACATTACGGTTGCCGAACTTGGCGAAGCTGCTGCCCCGGGCTCGGCCAGCACCCCCGGCCCCTGGCGTCCCTCGCTGGGACTGGGCACCCCCGCCCCTGGTCACTGATCCTGCCCCCCTGGGAGGGTGAAGGCTGCTAGGGGCCTCCCACCGCTTCTTCTTGGGGCTCTCAGGCACAGGCTCCCTGGTCAGCCTGAGGATACAGCAGGGCAGGGCATCACCAACCTGGCAGCCAACCAGCAGATCACAGACCGCTCCCCCAGCCCAGGGCGCCACCTCACAGGAAAGGCACTTACCCAGGCTATGTGGATGCCGTGGTGCAGGAAAGGGAGCAAGCCCAAGGTTCTTTGTGTCCAGGCTGTGCTCTTAACCACCAAGCAGTGCATGTCACCCCAGCCCACAGCTCTCCCCACCCTGGGACCCCGACCTTGGCCTCCTGGCCACTACCACACTACACCCTCCAACCCAGGACTTCATGCCCCGGGCTGCAGCTTTCTGGCTCATTTCTCGCTGGAGCTGCTGGCTCCTGGGCCCAGGACTCCAGCTCAGTACTTGGCAGCTCTGCCCCTGCAGTACCACCCTCCCACCCAGACTGACCCAGGCAGCGGCTCCCGGCTCCAGTCGATGGTGTAGGCTGAGCCATCCTGCAACCGGGCCTGCAGCACCTCCTTGAGCAGCTTTTCTGTCCGGTCTTTGTCCTCCTCGGACTCGCAAGCAGTGAAGCATCGCTCCACATACTCTTTCATGTCCTGGGGCCAATCGTCAGGCTTCCCAGATAGGTTCCCACGGGTGGAAGGCCCGCTATGGGGAAGGCAGACCAGGACCCTCAGCCAGGAGGACCCGAAACCCAAGCAGACCCTCATGTGGCCACTCAGCTGGCAAGTGAGCCAGATACAACCTGAGTATTCCTTCCCTGCCTCATTTAGTGCTTGGGGCAACCCCTGGAATGAAGCTTCCCTCCTCTGGAGGAGCAAATGGCCTCTGGGAAGGAGCTTGCCAGAGCACAGACTGCATACAGCCCAGAGGCAGGCATGGGAAAGAGGTGACCGTCACCTGTGATTCTGGGCCTTCTCCGGATTGGGCTGGGGCCCAAAGCTGCTGTGCTGGCCCTCTGTACTGGAGCCAAAGCTTTGGCTGGTGACAGCAAAGGGCCGCTTCTGAATGTTGAACTTGAGACCTCCAGTCCCAGGGGCTGCTGTGAAGGTGGCAGACACTAGGGTTAGGCCCTTCCTCCCAGACACTCCTGGGGCTCCCCCGGAATGYAGAAGTGTCAACAGCAAAAGGAACCAGACATTCGGGAACTGGAGAGCTCACACTCCAGAGAAAGGCCCAGGAAAAGCACACACCTAGTTGTGGAGCAGCACCCCCCCAGCCTCAGGACCACCCTGACACCCAGACAAGAGGCACCCTATGCATCTCACACCCAAGAGCTCAGAGCTCTAGGAGGGTCCCTACCCGCCACCCTCAGACTTCCCACAGCTTTGCCAACTTACGCTTCATGCGGTTCCACAGCTGCTGGCCCTTCTTGGGCTTGGTAGGCTCACTGTAGGTATGTGGCCCATAGGCCTGGCCTGCAGGGGGCCCCGCCTGGCTGTGCTGCGTGGCTGGAGCTGTTCCAGGCTGAGGCCCACTACTCAGAGAATGGGCCCCATGTGGGGGGTTGGAGGGCTGAGGGGGCTGGGCTGCAGGCAGCTGCTGTGGAGAGGCCTGATAAGCCATGCTTTCGTCCATGCCAGGGACTGGGGGCTGCAGGAGGAAGCAGGAACCGAAGGTGAGGGCACTCTGGGGCCCTCGCTGAACTCAGCGCTCAGTACGCATCCCCAGTGACTCGTGGGGTGAGTGCTCTGACTAACCACCCTTGGTGCGGCTGGGAGACTGAGAAGAGGGAGAGCCTGAGCAACTGTCTGGGGCCCCAGCTGTTGGGTGGCAGCTGTCAGCGTTCCTACTCTGAAGAGCGAGTCCCCAGCATTAACAGCCACTGGAAGCCCCCATTCTCCTGGTCTCTGACCTCGCACAACTAAGACCCATTTGACTACCAGTATTCCCAGGAACCCTCCCTACCTCAAACATCTGACTGAGACATAAGAGTCACAAGGCTTCTAAGAAATCATACGGGAGTGAGAGAGCCAGAGTCAAACCAAGGTTTATCTGGCTCCCATGCACCATCCCTCCAAGCTGCACGTTAAATGCAAAGCCAGAACGCAGATCTGTGTGTGTGTGCAGGCGTGTGCGCGCATGTTGGGAAAAAGGGAAGACAGGCGCCACATGACAAATAGCTCCCACCCTCTTCTAATGCTGCAGCCCCTGGCCTTGCCCAAGCCCTACACCCACCCTAATTTCAAAATTATGCTTTGCTCTCCTCCTTCTTAGATCAGGAATTGAGTGGCACCAAAAAAAAAAAAAAAGGAGAAATGGTGAACAGCCTAAATAGCAGAAGACTCTTTACTGCTGGCCCCTCAAAACCGACATCCCTCCTCTAGCCGGCCTGGCAGCTGGCCAGGCATGGTGTTACCTGGTTCAGAGTCCCTTGGTGCTGGGGTGCCGATGGCTGCTGGGGCGTGGCTGAGCCATAGGAGCTGGCCATCCCATACTGGGAGGGGGAGCCGTAGCTCTGGTACATGCTCTGCCAAAGGCACAGGAGGAAGGGTTAATGGCAAGCTGTCCTTGTCCGCCTGTCTGCTGGGAACTGTGCATAATCTAAGCCTCTCTACTCATCTCTCACCCTTGTTGTATCCACTGTACAAACACACCAAATGCTTCCTCATACATAAAAGAAACAAAGGAAAAGTTAAACCTCTTTTGATCCCACGTCCCACTTATGACAGCTCTCACAAGCTCCATTCAACAAACACCACTGCCAACTCAATCCTAAATCCCGTGACAAAGAAATAAAAAGCAAAAACCCATGCTCTATAACAAACCCTGTGCTAGACACATGCACAGCAATAGGTGCAGACATGGAGCATGTTCTGTGTAGTATCACGAAGGAAAACAGAATAAAGAAAAGGAACCCAGGTGCAAACACTGCTCTAGGTAATGGTCTGGCAGGGAGCAGCTCTCTGAGGACACTTCCCAAGCAGAGACCTTCTCAGGAAAAGCACAGAGGAGAGAGCTACAGCAAAGCAAAGCATGGGTGGACTTGGTGTGTGCTCGTGTCGAGGTCTCACAGCAATAAGCAGAACTCGAAGAGGGGAGAGGTCAGAACCAGGCACGCAGGAGCCTGCAGGCCTTGAGGGCCACATAGGTCTTGCTTCATGGGCTGTGAGCTAGTGGGTTTGGGGCAGCATGCCTGTTCTCTCCACTCCATCAACCCCCCCCCCCTGCCCACAACGAGGTGCCCTGCCCTGCAGAGGACACTCACCATGGGATAGTAGTAGCTGTAGGGGTAGGCATAGTTGTACTGCTGGTACCACTGATAGTACTGCTGTTGCTGCAAAGCCGAGGCTTCTGCCTGAGACACGTACTGCAAAACAGGAGCACCATGCCGTGAGCACTGGGCAGCAGGAGCCCATAGGCACCACGGCTCCCAGGAAGCCAGGCCTCTTTACTGATGGGTGTATGCCAAGGAGGGAATTAAGCCCATCTCTGCAAAGAGAACTTATCTCTGCTCTCAGACTTGGCACCTTTGAACCAGGAGCATGACTTCCCTCTTCAGGGCAACATCAGGCTCTGGCTGCCTCAAGGACATACCTTTCCCCCCTCAGCTGATGTGGATAACAGAAAAACACCTGTTTTACCCCCTCAGGGTACCCCATCCAAGTGCTACAGGTGGAAACCAGGCAGAGGCCCTCCCACAGCAAACCCCACAGGGTTCCCAGGCCAGGTGGCTTTCTCACTTGTGCACTGGCCACAGGCCCATTGCTGCTGGCCTTGGAGCTGCCGGCAGCTCCTGCTTTGCTGATGCTGGCCAGGGCCTGGCGGGCCTTCTCCCACTCTGGGTTCTCATGCATGGGGGTCTCCATGCCATTCTCTCTGTTGGCGCCAGCCACCATGCTGTATTGAGAGGACCTACAGAGAGAGGACATTGAATCAGTTTGTTTTCCCACTGCACACAACTTGACAAGATGACAGGGGGCAAACAACAGGCCCTGGATCCCATACCTAAGCTCCCTAAATTTTCTAATTACACTATGAGTATAACCAGCTTTTGCTTCAGGGAATCTCTGTGAAGGATGAAGCCAATCATCTGCTTAAGGTGCCTAATCTGGGTCTTGCACACAGCTTTTTAAACAAAACGGTAGCCAGTATCATAGAATTTAACATAGGCCTTGTACCTAGTAGGCCTCAGTGTTTTATGAATCGATGGATTCTAACACTACTCATGATCAGCAGGTTATAAGGCTTTTTGGAAAAAAAAAAAAAAAACAAGCAATTAACAGAAGGTCAATGACTGCATACTAAGTGTCAGAGGCTGCCTCCTCCCTACAGTTACTTGGAAGAATTAACAGTTCTCTGAAATAAAGGTGCAGAGGGGAAGACTTGCCTCGCCACACTACAACCAAGAGTGTAGTGTCCCTTTGTGTTTGGGGCTAGAAGTGCCCTACCCCAACCCCAGGAACTGCTATACCACTTTTCTCAGGCTGTATGAGATCCCACCCAAGAAGACACCCCTGGGCCTCGCTTCCACTGTCCCTCCCCGCTGGCCTCTGTCCCTCTACCCCACTAACCAATCTGTGCTACGTTGATCACCCACGTTGGCCGCCATCTGGACCTCGGGGTATAAGGGGTGGACCTCGGGAGCCAGACTGCTTTTCCACTATCTATGAGAGAAAGAATGAATTGGGAGACTCAAGAAACAGCAAGAAACATGTCATAAAATGAGCAAGAAAAGTCGGTGAACCCCGTGAGAAATCAGGCAGAAAAGGGGAATTTGAGAAAGAAGGAACCACTGGGGTAAAGAATGTGAGGGCGACTCTGGGTATGGAATGGAGCAGCTAGAGTATGAGCAGAAGGCTCTGGCCCCTCTGGAGTGCTCCAGGTGGAAAACAAGGAAGTTCCCCAAGGAAAAAGGCCTGAAGTCCACATTAGGAAAGGGGGATGTGAGGGAAACCCTGAGACAGGCAGGGGAAGCCCAAAGGAGCAATGGGGGACCTCAGCCAAGGATAGGGGATCTGAAAAGAATTCCAGAGAATGCATGTTCTGAGAGGAAGCAGGAGGAGAATACTCCAACAAGCAAAGCTTGAGAGACCCTAAGGCTCAGAAGGTTGGAAAGAGGGAAGCCTTACAAAGAGGGAGCACCTGGACCTGGGAGAACACAGGAGAATGGAGGAAATTTCTAAAGGAGAATATGATTCCTGGAAGTTCCCCTGAAAAGCGTGCAGAGACTAAGGGTGCCATAGGGGACCCCCACGTAAGGAAACAGATGGTCAGGAAGCACCTAAAGGCTGATCTCTGAAGGTGCCCTGAGGGCAGAGAAGAGACCCACACTGGAGGTTTCTAGAAGCAGGAGTAGGCGTGGGCCGGAAGGGGTGATCCCCTTGGTTGGAATCTGGACATGCTTTGAGAACACTAAAGAGGCCCACAACATATTAAGGAAATCATTAAGAGTCGGGTGGGAAATACGGGGGGGGGGAGCAAAGAAACAAGGACTAAGGGGCCTGAACTCCTGGAGGGGTTAACTGACTACTAAGATGAATCCCATCAGACACCCAGTCTTACAAGAAGTTGAAGGATCGGAAACAGGAGCCTGGAGCTGAGTAAAGTCCTACAAAGGCGAAGCCATTAAAAAAAGACCCAGAACCTGCGTGGAAGCAGGTGGGACACTGGAGAAGAGGTAGATCGGGGTGAGGGCTGGGGTCTGGAGACGGGCTACAGTGCGGGGCAGACGCGAGGCCGGCGATGATGCTGATGGCACCTGGCGGTCCCGCAAGCTGCGAGGGCGAAGGACGCCGCCGTTGCCCGGGAAACGTCGCCCGCAGCCCGGCAGCCGTCAAAGGGCCTGGGGCCGCCGCGTTCGACGCGCACGCGCGCGGGGCCTCCGCGAGTCCCCACCCCCGCAGCGCGCAAGCGCAGTGCCCGCCGCCGCCACACCCTGCCGACGCTCGCGCGGCGTCCGTTGGCCCGACGGCCCAGAAGGCCGCAGGGGCGCGGGGCGCAGAGCCAAAGGGAAAACGTCCCCGCCCTCCCACCGCTCCCCACACCAACCTGGACCGTTCGCTCCCGGGACTCGTCAGCAGCGGCCCAAGGCGGTAGCACTACGGCCGCGACAACGCTCGGCCACCCGGCTGGCTTCTGTCTTCTTGGGCTTCGACGTCTTGACCGTGGCGTCCTGACGTCATGCGGCGGCTTCGCCCCGCCCCTTCCCTGAATAGCCAATGGCCACCACCAGTGGGCTTGAGCCCGCCCTCCCGCCTACGCAAGCACGAGGGGGCTGGGACCGGCAGGCCGGAAGTCTGGGCGGGGACGGTGGCCCCGAGGGAACGATCGCGGYCGAGTTTCCGGCTCGTCACTCTGGCACGCAGCCTTTTTTTGACTCCGCCTGTGGTAGCCATTGTTTTCCCTGAGGAGTAAACCGGAGTGACGAGGTCTGTGAGACTATTCACAGCACAGTGACGTGGGAGCCCGGGAGACGGGGATGGGCTCGGGGGAAGGGCGCGAGGGCAGCCTCCACCCGGAAGGGGGCGGGGGACGGCGCTCCGGGGGAGTCGGCCGCCGGGCGTCGGAGCTGGGTCCCTGGCGGCCGGGCGGCCTGCCACCCCGATTAGAGGCTTCGCGTCCTGTCGTTAGCATTAGCACGGCAGATGCCACCCCGACTTTACCGGACTTCTTGCGGCGGAGTAATTATTCCGATTTATGGGGAAAGTGGCAAAGCTCATACCGAGTCGCGCGTCCTCCGCCCACGTCCCCCCTGCGGTCCCCGCACCGAGAGCCGGACTCCGTGCGTGGCCGCGCCTTTCCCGCTCCCTGTGTGCGGGGCTAACCCAGAGCACCTGTCAGACCCGAGGTGAGTGTCTCGGCTTTGTGAGACCCTTTTGCTTGAAGAGGCCACTGAGGTCCCTGCGGGGGGTGAGGGAAGGTCCTGGCCAGCCAGGCCCTTGATCCTGGGCCCCCCTTGCCTTTGGGCCCTCTGCTGTGGTTGTCCGACACCAGCTTCCCCAGAAGCCCCAGAAGTGCTTTCTTTCCCAGAGAGCCTTCCTGTGCAGCTCAAAGTGTCGCCGCCAGCAGCTGCTGATGCACATCCTTAAGTGCTTGTGCTGCTTTTTCTGGAAGTTGATTCCCCAAAGCAGGATTGCTGGGTGGGTGGGGGGGTCTACACAGTTTTGATTTTCTCATGTATCAGTGGGTACGTTTTTTCAAAGAATGTGGTTCTAACCTCTGCACTGTGTGCTGGAGTGCTCTTCCTGCAGCTCCTGGGCAGCCCAGGACAGGACCCGTTTCTAATTTCATAGCTAGTAGTGGAGCTGCTGGTTGCTTCACATGTCTCCTGTTGACGGTGTTGGGAGTTCTGTTTCATGAATGTTCGTCTCAGTTACTAATTTTGTTTTAACTTTTTTATTCTTTTTGGTACCAGGGATTGAACTCAAGGCACTCAACCTCTGACCCACATCCCCAGCTCTATTTTGTATTTTATTTAGAGACAGGGTCTCACTGAGCTGCTTAGCACTTCACTTTTGCTGAGGCTGGCTTTGAACTTTTGATCCTTCCTGAGCCACTGGGATTATAGGCTCCACCGTGCCCTGCTTCAGTTGCTGATTTTTAAATTGAGCTTTTTGTTGTCTATAGAAGTTTTTGCAGATTATATTCATGTGTTGAGAATAATGTATTTCTTTGCTGTATGTATCACAGAGTTTCGCAGATTAAAAACTTGTTTTTTGACTTCATTTTGTTTTCATACTATGATTTGTCAAATAGGGTATCTTTTCCCTTCAGGGCTTTTGTTATCTTGATTAAAGTTTTTCTCCCAACACCACCACCTGGATATACAACATAAAAATAATAGGATTTCTCTCAAAATACTTCTGTCCCTTCACACATGTAGGATCCCCACCCTGGTCTGTCTGGGTAGGAAGTTTTGCCTGGATGCAGAGCAAGCTGGCTGGGCACTGTTAATTGTGCTTGCACATGGACTTGAAGTTGGTCTTCCGTTGTGTGTACACACGTACACTTAATCTATTTCTAGCTATGTTCTCTTTTCCTGTCAGGATGTGGTTATGGCTTTTAGAGATGGAACTGCTGCTGAGCTTGGACAGGAACACCACCTGGCAGCCACAGGGAAGGGTCCTCCCCGGCCCAATGAGGAGCAGAATCTGGGACCGGGAGACATAAGGACCCTGCTGCTTGTAAAATAAAGTCTTCCTTTTTATTTCAAATCAATCCTTTCCAAGTTAGTTACACATGTTGAGACCAGAGCCCTGGAGCTCCCTGGGGTAGGGAGGAGCAGGAAGACTGCGGTCCCTGCACCCATTCCAGTCCCTTTGTGAATGGGACTGGCAGCAGAGATGAGGCCTGGGTGTCTGCCTGCCTCCTCCCCTGCCAGCTCTGGCTCCTGCTCTGCCCCCTCAGCTACCACAGGGGTGAGGACAGATGGGGGCGCTGGGGCCAGAGCAGGAGACAGTCCTGTGGAGGGTGTCCGTGGCCATCAGTGTTAGTGGTCAGAGCCCAGTCAGGCAGGTTAATGGGGTCTCCTCCTGCGGCCAGGGAAGGAGCTGCAGAGAGGCAGAGACCAGGCGCTGAGGACCACAGGCCACTCTGGTGCACACCCACCCAGCATGTGGACACCTTGGGGAGCACCAAGGCCAGGCTGCAGGTCCCCTGGCACTGGGAAGCTCACCGTCGAGGGGAGGCAGGCTCCAGGCCGGCGGGGAGGAGGGGTTCAGATAGAGGACTGCCACTGCACAAAGCGCTTGGATTCCTGCCGGGTGGGGAAAGCACAGGAGGTGGGAACCTGGCTTGTACTGTGGGTCCCCAGGGTCGCCTCCCTCAGACCCAGGAGCCCAGGTCCCAGTCCTCCTCCCTCAGACCTTGCAGACCAGACCCAGCCTCCTCCCTCAGGCTAGAGTCTGTACCTGAGGGTTAAAAGGGTCGTCATCATCAGTGTCCTCATAGTCGTCACTGGGGTATGAGGTGGGGAGTGGCAGAGAAGCAGGATGGGGACCCATCAGGAGGCCACACCCTCCCCAGCAGTGGCCCTGGGTGCTGCCTCCTGTCCCCTCCCCCAGGACCCTGCCCTCTCTCCCCTGCTGACCTGGGTGGGAAGAGGGCCCAGGCTCGGGGTAGGCTGCAGAGGGTGGTGGCCAGGGCCCCAGCGGACAGGAGGGAGAAGAGCAGCAGGAAGAGCAGGCCCTCCAGTGCGTCTTCACACAGGCCGCGCAGCGCCACACCGTAGTCCTGGGWTGAGAGCCCAGGTGAGCACCCTGCATTTCTGGTCAGTGTGCCTGGCCATGTACTCTGCGCACATCACCCAGGATCTGTGACTGTTTCCTCCTCTGTTAGAGGGCTGCAGAGGATGGTCTTTCATGCTCACAGGCCTCTTCCCAGCCTGAGCCTTGGCCAAGCACGAGCCCTGCACCCCATCCCATTTCCCCACAGAACCCTTGCACCCAAGCCAGCCCAGTATATCCACTGGCACCCCAAGAGCTGCCCTTCCCTCCTGCCTTAGCAGGCAGGCCCTGCGTGGCTACCTCCCTGCCACCCAGAGCTCAGGACATCAGCTGTGCCTAGGATTGCTCAACCTGGGYACCATTGGCATTTTGGGCCAGATAGTTCTCTAACGTGGGGCTGTCCTGTGCACTGTGGGATGTTGAGCAGTGTGYCCCCAACTTCTACTCCCTTCCTGCAATTGTACAGGCAGACTCGTCTYCTCACATTGTCAAATGTCCCCTGGGTCTGCAGTCACTACCTTAGAAGAACACCTGGGGAACTCCTGGAGTGACTTTCTGAATCACACCTGGCGTGACAGCTCCCACTAGCTACCGTGCCCTGAACGTCCAGCAGCACAGCCCAGGTTCCTCCGCAGGGGCAGACTGACTACTCTGGGCTAGGCCTCCTCCGAGTATTGGGGACCCCCAGGAAACAGGACAAAGAAGGTCACTTAGACGGTGGTGAGCTGTTTAAGCAGTCCTGGGTGGAGGCCACAAGGGAGCCGTCAGGCCTGCAGAGGGGCCAGGAGTGAACCAGGCAGATGATGGGCAGCTGGGCTGATGTGGGCAGAGGCCAGAGAGTTGTGGCCAGGGCTGCCACGAAGGCCCTCATAGGCCAGGGCAAGGAGCCCAGCTTTTAATCCTTGTGCAGAGGGGATCACGGGAGGCTTTAAGCGGAGGAAGGCCTTGATCGGATTGTGTGTTGRAAGGATCACCAGCTGTTGGATGCTGTTGGACAGATGGAGTGGGCAAGAGGGGACAGGAAGGAGGTGCCTGTGGTCACTGGGCAGGAGGTGAGGAGACCAGGATCTGGTGGCAGTGGCAGCTGAATGGAATGGTGGCTGGAGTCCAGATGGGTTCAGAAGCAGGGTGGCAGGACTTGGGAGAGGGAGGCTGAGGTGAGGACAGTCAGCAAGAGCGTGTGCCTGAGCTCCTGCCTTGCACACCTGCAGTGGGCRTGCCCGTCAGGGTCATAGGCAGCACTGCCTGGACCTGTCAGGTGCGAGGACATCCTTTCCCCTTTACATTAAACAGCCCTGCCCAGCAGGGCCCACACTCATTATGCTGCTGCCTTTGACAGTATAGGAAACAGTGGAAACCCACAGGGGACAAGCCACTTACCCAGAGTCATACAGCCTGGAAGGGRCAAACATGGGCTCCAGAGCCACCCTCCTTCCTCCTCATCTCTGATGTCCCTTGTCCCTGATTTTAGTGTGTGAGGAACCAGGGCCCCAGGGTCACATGGCACATCAGTGGAGGGCAGTGGCTCTGACCATCCTCCTCCCTCCCTTCACAAAGGAGCAAGCATGTTGCAGCCCTGTTCSCACCTCCCTAAGAGCAGTGCAGGGGCTCAGTGGCCACCCTGCAGCCTGTCTCAGCTCAGCTATTTAGCAATGTTGCACATGGACTCAGCACCCTGGGCCCGTTTTTTTTTTTTTTTTTTTGGTGCGAAGGTGTCAGGTGCCTAGCACGTCCTGGTTTCATGTAAGCACCTCCCAGAATTGCATGGCACACTCCTGGGAAGGCCGTGCCTGTTCCCTGAGCTTGGCGTCCCTGCTCAGGGGAAGGTCAGGAGTGGGAGAAGGTGGCCAAGGAGGATGGGTCTACTGCAGTGGGGACTGTGGTGGATGGATGAGGACATCCCAGCAGCAGAAGGGTAGACAGCTGCACTCAGGGGCAGTGGGAAGTG